AAGGATAAAAGACACAGTGCCATCGACGCGTACACGGAGATTATAATAGTCATTAGGCTGTTTCAGGCGTACGAAAAAGACGGCGGGCAGAGGCGGAGGAGAAGAATAGAAGGAACGGGGAGGAGGGAAGGAGGACAATCTCTCCGGATGGACCATGGTTTTTTGTGCCCCTCGGGGGTTTACAGCGTCGTCGGGGCACTTGTTATGGTGGTGGATGCACGTGTTCTAATGGATACGCCGGACGCAGTCGAAAAAAATGTGGCTTCTCTAGGCTTAGGTTAACGCGCAGGGTGGAGGGAGGGGGATGTATCTAGGAGTCTCGACACTCCGGAGGATAGACGAGATAGATGATGAGCCCGAAGCATGCAGGGCCGCACCCGGTCCTGAGGAACAACCCTGAGGAACTTGAAGACACTCACTTGTACAAATGGAAGAACTTCAGAGACGACTTTAGGGACAACAGAGTCTCCGTCGCGCAGTCTTTCTTCGGAAAGACTGATATACATACGGCGACGAAAGAATCGACTGTGAATACTTCGGTCACACAAATAGAGAGTAGCGCAGCTACTCTCGCACAGTCAACATTATACTTGAAAATTTATGTGAACATACACGTGCACGCAAACAGTTCTTGATTCGTATTCCTAAATCTTAGAATGACTTTCGTGTCGTTTTATTGATATTTTCACGGGGTAAACGAGGGATACGCCGTGGGCATCAGTGGAAACGTCGCCAAACAAATCATACTTCGCGCGTCCCTCACCTCACTTGGGCGATTGCGTCAGTCACAATGGAGGCTGTGGAAAAGACAGGACTGCAGCCCTGCGCGAGAGGGCAACGCTATCTGACGCAGAAATCTCCGAGAGGCCCGCGCGTTGTCGGGCCCTCCGACTCCCTTCTCGCACTCTATCACGTATGCCCCGTCCCTCTCTCTTTCTTCTTTCGCTCCTCTGACTCACCCTTGCACATGTTCAATTTCAGCCCCTTTGAAAGCTCGTTCCTTATCCCGCGCTGGTCAGGATCCTAGAGAATCCTCTCCCTACTGGACTCGAATGAGGTCCTTTTCTCGGCCAACCGCTCCGCCCACAGGACCCTTTTCGCCCGAGAAAAGGATCGGGTCCCGGCAAAAGAGACCCGTCAAACTGCTCCTCCACGTGCACGTAAAAACGAATCGGGCACAAAGACGAGAGGACGCCGTCGGCGATGGCCGTCTTTCGCTTCGTCCCCGCGAAAAGTCATTGTCGCCTTCGACGACGAAGGAGGGGGAGGGGAGGAGGAAGAGAGGAGGACGGGCGTTCTTTAATCATCTCTATCTATTATCGCGCGCTGACGATTCGGACAGGTCGTCGAACGTTCGAATCTTTCCCGTACGTAATCCTCATCTGCCGCCTCCTCATCCTTCGTCTTTCGATTCTCTGCGCCTCGCGAATCCGCGGGATTTACGATCGCGCGCGATCGCGTCCACGATATCGCGCAATCTGCATCCGGCAAATAAGACGACGAGTCGAGTAACGCCTTCGATGAGATCGAACAAGGATGGGCCGAATAAACAGGATACCACGATGACACAGTCCACCCTAATCCCGCGATAGAAATCCTTAAGCTGCTACCGGTCATCCGCCGGCGTAGGAGGGCGACGAGAAGGGGAAGAACGGGAAATGTATATAATTTATAACGATAATCCTTTAAGAATGGATCCGTGCTTCGGAGGCAGATTCACGCTTCTGCGACCTTCAATGCGACCCTCCCGCCCTTGTTCCGCCACCCCTTCTTTCGAAACTCTCCCCCCGTCCAGTTTTTTTTCTCCGCACACCAGCCGAGCGAATCTTGAATCGATGGAGCGTGCTTCGTCGGGATCTTGTGTTTACATAGGTGCAGAGATTCACAAGGAGCGGCTGTTTACTTAGGGGCATAATGGCGACTCGCAAATGGAAACGGATCTCTCCGAGCTGCATTTCACGACGCGAGAGAAACTCTCTCGCGTTGTGAAATGCATGAAGAGCCGATATCAGGCTTCCGTGTGCAGGCTTCCAACGCGAGTTTGCCGAAACTCTCGAATTTGACGTATCGAGCAATATTTAACGTTAGGATTGCCGTGTTGATCTCGAGGCTCGCGTCGAGTTCATCGCGAACGTGCCTTCGCGTTCTTCCTCCGATTTACGATACCGAGAAGACGACGAAAAGGGGGTGATTGTGAGGACGTTCTCCTTGACGAATTTACGGAGAGAGAGTTTGGACTGACTCATTGTACGTAGTTGCACGGTGTTGTACGTTGCGGTACGGTAGAAGCAACGAATGACAATTTCTCGGGGGTGTCTCGGGGGAGAAATATCCGCGTTACGGCTGCTGCTGCAGTCATTCGCGACGAATCCTTCCCCTTTCTCCACCCGGCGCATCCAGAATGACGAAATTCGCCATTGAAAAGTACGTGTCTGAGCATCGCGCGGGAGAGTTAGGACACGTCTTTTCAGACGTCCTTTTTTTACACACAACACCGACGACGTATCTACGCACCTAACCACCCACGTTTTAGATTCGCTTTAGAAGCGTCGCGAGGCAGGTCCTCGCATCCGGCAGGATCCTTTGATTCACCTTTGCAGACGAGACCTAAATACTGATCTGTTCGTGCAAGTTCGAGCACCTTGTGTGCGCTCTTGGCACGTGAAGAAACTTGGTCAAAGGAACTCGAAATGCCTCCTAGGAATGTATAGGTTCGGAACTGCGCATCGATCCGAAAAGTCCGCGAGCGTCTCGAGTTTACGCGTAATACGTTACACAAAAGGAAGTCCTTCCCGAGACCTCGAATAGCGAGACATGTTCGAACCTGTCTGGAGTCGCGAGCAGCTGCTCGAGCAACTATCTTCGAATCTCTATACCGACGTTCGAACCTCGTTCCGCTACACACGTGTGTGATAAGAGTGTATCTTTCCTTTCCGCGGTTATCGGAAGATGTGTTTGGTCAAATAAGATAAGTGGAATGAATACGAAATAATATTGTCGAAAGCGTGAATCTCGAGAAATATATTTTGAGACTGATCGATACGCATTTTATATTTACATACGCACGCAGTTTGGAAAGATAAGACAAAAGCGCTCCCGGGCTTTAAATATCGCCAAACTTGCTCCTCGATATTTTTATCGATTCATTAACACCGCATAACCGAGAGAGCGAGGGAAGAGTCGAGACAAATCACGAAACAAGTGTGCAAAGACGGACCGTGCCGGTAAATTAACGCGTCCTACCGCGCACCGTTAATCGGACCATTTCCCGAGATCCCGATCCTTCGGTCCGCTAACCCAGAATCCCAACCCTTTTACCTGCGACACACGCACCGGCGAAGTTAGCGGAAACCCGCGAACAATGCGGGAGAGAGTTTCTCCCCGACGGGGAGAACCACCTGTGAAAGGGTTGAACCGCGGATCAACCGATCAGAGATCCGCAGGTCAAAGTACGAGATGTTATTAGCAACAAGTGCGTCTCGAAACAGAAGGTGGCGCACCAAGTCCCTCACTATTTTACTCTTTTCTTTTTTTTTCGTAGGAGTTACAACGTAGGAGCTCATAGTTCCGCTAATTTCAACAGCACACCTGGCGCTTGGTGAAAATGTGGAAAAAGGGCTGCTGGGCGAAGCACGGCAGCTGCGAAAAGCACGTTGCACCATACGCTCGCGCACAGCAGGTTTTTCCTGGTGAGAGAATCGGGGGTGGGACGAGAATCAACCCTTGAATCGTCTTGGATTCTCTCTCTTTCATTTCCGCTCCTTCGATTCGTCGTCGTCGTCGTCGGCCACGCGATCGAAGCGTCGCTTCTACGATTGCGTGCTGCGCATGCATACACGCTAGATCGCGGCTCTGCAAAGCGCCCTTTGTGCGCGCGTTTGACCCTTTTTACCTGGATCACTCTCGTCGGTTCTCGACCCTTGCAGCGCGACGCGGAAGGGCGGCCCCGCCACGTCACGAGAAGGGACAGCGATCAGCGACGAACAAACACGACCGGTGCTTACCTCGTACGGTGGCCTATTCAACGGCGCAAGATATGCATCTACGGCCCTCCAATGGGCCCGGAAAATAACGAAATACCGCCGGAGATTTTCGTGATTTTGAATAATATTGCATTCACCCCCGTCGCCCCTTTCTCTCTCTTTAACCCCTACGCAGTATCCATACACGCTTGGACTTGGTTTCAAAGGGATCGAAATGCCCCCTCCCCCCTCTTGGGCCTCTCTCTCTCTCTTTCTCTCTCTCTTTCTCTCTCTCTCTCTCTCTCTCTCTCTCTCTCTCTCTCTCTCTCTCGTATCGCGGCATTATGGCCGGCCCTTTTTATTCCGCCCACGGAAATTCCCTGGACCGGTTCGGAGGACAAAGGATTCCGCGTGGTTTTCTGACGGATGGGCGAGCGAGTGCCGAAGCGCATAAAAGATTTATTCGCGAATCATCGACGACGGATCGGCCGATCGTGAAGGGCCGCCGGAATATTCATCGTCAATCTTCGATCCGCTTCGTGGATTTCGGTGGACGATGATGCAACAGCGGACAACGCCAATGTAATACCGACGCGTTTCGGAGAATTTCGCCACAATCGCTCATTCGGAAAATAAATAAATATATAACTGTGTATATGTAAGCATAATAATTAATACGTAAGTAAAAACTCGCATGTGACTGTTCGAAATTCTCGGTGAAAATCTCGAAAGATGCGATCCCATCTTTGAGTTCATACCCGTCCTCCATATCCCTCGAACAGACGCTATTCTACCGTCGATCACGCTTAATTTTTCACGGTCCTCGCGTGATTACTGCGTGAATAAAATGGTACTGCGGTAGTTAATTACTGTTTCCTCATTGACAGGGATAAATATACTCCTTCCTGAGGTGCGCGCGTTCAACAATGCGCGCGTTGCTCGCGCTCGCCAATAAAAACGGGAGCGGCATTAATTCCAAGGCGGCGACAGTGCTCAGCATAAAAAGCTTCATGCAAAAAATGATATGTGCAAACTCACCAAAAGCGATGTGCGAGCGAGCTTGTCGTTCCGCTTCGACCGTCCGGTGGCCGTGAGTCCTCTCTGCTGCTTCACCTGCGGCAGAAATTGGCGAGACGTCAGTTGACGAAATAACAGTGCAGTTGATCGCGTGGACGATAGAAACACGAAACAAGGATGGCGACCGGACGCAAAAGGAAGATGAAAAGACGGTGAATTGAAATCGCGTTTCGGCTGGAACGCTTGTTCGTTAAGGGTTTCATCCAGGACACAGCCAGCCTTTGCGGATTATACCGCGGCGAGTAAGTGTAGCGCGGAAAAGATTCGCCTTAATTACGTTACAACACACGATGCCGTCGCAATAATCGAAATTCGTAGCGAACTGTGCTCGGCACCGGCAGAAGATAAGAAAACTTTAACAAAGCGACCATATTTTTAGGGGATAAAATTTCGCCGGTCCAGACCATGCGTTGCTTTCTAAGCAACGTGTCATGTAAGGCGACCGAAATGATTGAGCGAAACGAGAGGAACCTCATACGAACGCTACGTTATTCAACGAATGGCCGCTTAATTAACGCAGATATAAGGCGTGCTTAATAAAACCGAGAGATAAGATTCCGATGAAAAAGATCTCTATCTGGGAGAACGGAGCCTACCTACCGAAGACGATTACCACCCCGTAAAAGCGAGAAACAAAAAACAGATACGGTAGTCGCTGGACCACTTTTCGCTCCGGGCACAGACGAGGACTCCTCTTTTTTTAGTACCGTCCTCTCCCGCCGTCACCCTCCTCCCTATCTTCACGTCGGTCAACAGCTGGAGATAATCGGCTCTCCGAGGACGATTTTCCTTCGGAGGAAACACGTAACGGGAGGACACCGCGCGGCAAAATCGAAGCGCGGAATGGGGAAATTTGTGTGGCTCATTGATAGCCGATGGAAGCCGACTGCACGGCTGTCTCTCTCTCTTTCTCTCTCTCTCTCTCTCCCTCTCTCTCTCTTTCTCTATCTTCAGATCATCCAATATAAGATCAATATCGAGGCTCTCTGGTCGTTTCCGTACCACGTGCGCCATACCCGCACCGCAGATATAGTTACCTTCTACTCGAGACGAAGCGAGAAGCAACGATACACGGCATGACGGCTCGCTCGGGTTTCGTCGTTCCACTTACGGACGATGCCAAAGGGGCATTAAATCCCCGTGGAAGGCTGTTTCATTAATACTCGCGCGCAAGATGTCTCATCGCGCAAGATGGAACGGGCCGTCGTATCGCCTTTCGATGAGACGCATCATCGCTCAGATGATATAGATTAGATTAGAATCGAGTCGATCCGATGATAGGGCGTTTCCCTGGCTTTTCCACGTAATTTGTTTTGTGATTACGAGGCGTAAAATCGAAGCTTTTCATCGTATCACATGAAACCCGACGGATTTCTCTTGGCGGACCGAAGTAATTAATATCTCGTCAACGAGAGAGATACTTAAGATCCAAACGTTAAGCTAAATATGACAACAACGATGACAAAAATGTGCGGATTTTTATATTTTCGTCAAACAGGTCGACTGAAATTTGTCCCGCGGACGCGTTACGAAACACAGATCCTTTGTTTCGCCTGCTGCAATCACCTCGCCAATTTATCCGCAGCCGACTCAATGAACCACAAAGGAAACCATTAATTAAAGCCCGCGAGAACCGAGCGCGGCCGAGTAACGTACGTGTCAGAAATTTTCAACGAAACCAACCGGATTCACGGTGGGCGCCGTGCACAGGCCGAGTTATCTCGATCTCGAAATCGGCACGATTACACGCGAGTGCGCGAGGAGGAAGTAGAAAAAGAAGCCGAGGAAGGCGGAAAGGGTGGGAGCGAGTAGAAGAACGCGCGGATGCAAGACGAGGATGCACTTCAGCTTGCACCTGCCGGTGACGTCAGAAGGGACTTCTTGTTTGGGCCTGCTCAGCCCCGGGGGTCACTACTACTGTTTCAGGTTAGCCTGCCGCGCTTCTTCGCCTTCTCTTTTCTCTTCGACCCTCACACACCGGAGGGGCCCTCCTTCCTCTCTCGTCGTTTCGTCTACCCGCAGCATCGTCGAGCGCGGGTATGTATAGTCGCGTACAGTCGACTTCGCTCGTGCACGAGAGCGAGTGAATAAGAGAACGTGGCACAAAGAACGCCGCGCCGCGCGGTCATTACTCACGTATTAATTATATGCTAATGTTATATGATGAGGATTCCACGTAAAGTCGCGCTTCTAAATCACCGCGTCAGGATCTCGGCGACGTTTTTCCCCTTTCTCCTCCGCCTTTTTCTTCTTTCGTCGCCAAGTGCTCTCCTCCTCACGCACCAAGTATTCTCCTTCCATCGAATTAATCCTTTTTTTCTCGGTGCTCTCCCGACAACACGATAAGCAGCACTATCGCGTACCGAAGTGCCGAAGGTAGCGTTTTAATCGAGATCGCATCATATCGCTCATACACGCATACACACACACACACACACACGCACACACACCAACGAGGGGGGGGCTCTCGCCACGGCCAAACGACGGAGGGTCGTTCCACCTCCTCCGAAGAGTAACATTTTATCTGATGGGGCCCGCGACACTCGTCCCGCACACAATTTGCATAACCTAATACCTTCGTCGTATACGAGGGGACGAGGGCGGGGAATAAATACAGGGGAGACGCGTCCTTTGCGCGAGATTCGCAGTGTAGCGCAAGGAGTAACGGCCTCGAGAGCGTGCCGTCCGCTTTTCGCCGATGCGATTGAATATTTCTACGACTCGGCCGTTTCGACGCGAATCGATTCCAATCGCGTGGGTAACTTATTAGCCGTATAAAACTTATACATTCGTGTTTCGACACCGCGGCTATTATATCGACATTCAGTAACTCTTCGAGTCGCGAGGAGCAACGGTCATCAACGGCAGAATCACAAACGCGAAATTTACGCCGATCGTTCACCGGTTAATGAACCAGAGTGATATATTCCGCTCAAAGAAGTGTCCTCGAAATTTGTCACGCCACATGCGCCATGATTCTCCGTCTCGCCGGGCGATGTATTATTACCGACATAGCGAAGAGTGCGCGCGAGTAGCGAGTATAAATTTCCGGCAGGAATATAAGCGGTAACTCTTCGGGTCCGGCGCGCGAGCTCTCTCTCTCTCTCTCTCTCTCTCTCTCTCTCTCTCTCTCTCCTCCCTTCCCGCTACTTTTCCAGTCACTAGCGCGTTCTCTCTTTCTCTACACTGTGAGGCAAGATGTGAGTAAGATGAAGTGAGGACGATCATGAATTATTAATTCCGCGCGAGACACCTCTCCGGGACGAGAGACGTGCGCGCGAAAAACGCACGGGCGCGGCTTTAAATCGGCCCGCCGCGAGGGCAAAGGCGCGTTCTTGAATTAATTAAAATTTGACGGTCGCGCGCATTAAAAGAGAGGAACCGGTTGTAAAGTCTATCCGATCTTGCGATAGGCTCCTTGCCGCGGCTCACAACGCGAGGCCTCGTCCTGTCGACTTAAAGTGGATTAACGTAGGCGCGGGAAAAGAACGCGATGCAGGCCATCAGATCCGCCGAGTGCTCCGTGCTGGAACAGAGCGTCCGCGGATCTGCTCGCAAACCGGTTTAAATCCGCGTCTAACAGGAAACGCGCGAGATTAGCCGTTTCCTCAATTTTCATCAGAGGCCTGTCGATGCCCGCGCGATGTCGCGGGCGCGCGTTCGCCCCGCCGAGTTTGAGCCGCTGGTCGGAATCACTCGGATGGAATCACGGCTGCGATCGACTACCTGTTCACTTCAAAGGGGCGAACGATGTTTGTCTGCGGTGTCACGGTTGTGGCGAGAGAGAGAGAGAGAGAGAAAGAGAGAGAGAGAGAGAGAGGGGGGGGGAGAGAGCATGTTGCTATGTAACGACGAGGCCCTTCACGATTCCCTTTCGCCCCTCCTGGATAGTTTCTATCGGTGCTCAGGTGTTCCGAACCAACATTTCCGAGTTGTCGAGAATTTTGCGTCTAGATGTCAGTGATGACTCCTCGATAATGGGCGACAATCGATACACAGTGACTGTGTTCTTGACACCGTTACATATTGATCATACATGTCGTTTTTTCGGTATACCGTATGCAAACGTATAAGATTACCTCCGGAGGGTTGTCGTATCCGTGACTACATTCACCTGACGCCCGTCGACGACTACGCGAAGAGAATTGTCGGAAAACAAGCCTGTAGAAAAAGGACCCGGTAATTCGTTGGATGTGAGGTGAAGGAGAAAAAAATTTGTCGCCTCTTAGAAAACTTCCACGCTTTTTTACGACCGTACGGCTAATGGACGCATCGCGATCACGTGTCACGTGAGGACGGGTGCCCCGGGTTCCGAGATAACAAAAAATCCAGGCAGAACATATTTAATAGCGGGGGTTGCCGCACGAGGCTATCACGAGGCGTCTAGACGGTCGGCTCTAAATCTCTCTCTCTCTCTCTCTCTCTCTCTCTCTCTCTCAAACACGGCGGAGAGACGGGGAAAAGAAAAGAAAAAAAGACGGCGAACGTTACCGCGCGTTAATTACTATGACGTACCGGCGGCTACGTTAATCTCTCTCGACTGGCTTACAAGTTCTCCCGGGCCCGGAGCGTGGCTGAAATTAAAATATCCGCGGCCGTGCGAGCGGACAGTTAACGAACGAAATTTCATAGTTGCGCGTTCGATCTGAGATGTAAAGTGCAAAATTGCGCATAAGAGCACCTTGCCACCATCCCCGGCAGAGGGACATGCACAATGCCTACAATAGGATGCGCACTTGGCGCGTCACGCTATTTCGCGTGTCGCGAAATTGAATGCACGATCGATCTCTCCTGTGTCCTCTTTTCTCACGCGGGGTAATTGGACGTTCCTAATGAAGCGTGTCATGGCTTCTGTGAATCAAGCCGGAATCAACTAAGCTCCAATTACTAAGCACAGATCGAACCTTCCTGGTCTCGACTCGTCATCTCTATCATCACTGATATCGAGTCTAAGCGGCCAAAGCGAGCGAGCTGGCAACAACCCCCAACGCAGTCCCCTCGCGGCCAACCTCCGAAGCAACAAGCGGCAAGTATTGGACTTGTTCTGTATTCGGTGTAAAGCCGACAACAGAATCCGTTTCACATCACGCGAGCTTGCGTGACGTGCACGAACGTGTCACGACAGGTTCGATCCAGTCCCGGGCAAGAAGAAGCAACAACACCCCCTCTCGCAATCTGTACAAATCTATCGTAGGGAAAGGGACCCCTCGGGAGAGAGCCGAAGACGTAGGAAATCGGAGCCGCGGCGGAACGAGAGAATCCACCACCAATACAGGGAAGACGGAGCGGGGGTTGTGCGCGTGTATAAGCGTGGTGAGGCGACCAGGGTGCTGCATGCTCGAGATAGGTGGTGGGCAATCGGGGGACGAAGGCGAAGGTGGGAGAAGAGCGGCAGATGGTCGGCGTGGACCCCGACGTGGGAAGCTCCGAATTCTCCGAGTTCCCACAGCCAGTGTGCACCTGCCTTCCCCACTCTGTCACCCCGTGCAGTCTCGGCGGGGCTATATATGGACGGGGTTGATCGTGCTAAGGCACCATTCGCTCACTAGCGTCTCGCTCCAAAGCAACTACCCAAAAGCATTCGCAGAGTACAGATCCTCCGCTACCACGTTCCACCGAGTTCCTATCGAACGACAGTTCTTCGCCACGTGCTTCGGGTTCCGAGAGTTCGAAGGAAGAAACCGGTTCAGTGTCCCGTGGTTCGAAGGAGAGAATCTCTTGAGAGAAAGAGAGAGAGGGAGAGAGAGAGAGAGAGAGAGAGAGAGGAAAAAAGAGAAAGAGACACACACACACACAGAGCGAGAGGAAAAATGGCGGCCATCACTATGAGCCACGTGTTCGAGTACGAGAACGAGCTCAACGACAATCTCTACAACCTGAAGATGTCGGGCAAGGCCGTGAACAGCGGTAGGAGAATACGCAGCATGCTGAAACCACTGCTGCGACTCCTGAAGACGAAGCGAGCGAGCAAGTACGCCTCCAACAAGAGCCAAGAAGCTGCACCTCAGATAGAGATCTTCACCGAGGAGGTCGACAACCAGAACAACGCCAACGAGTCATTGGAGCGCCGACTCTTGGCGGAGCTGCAGGACGCCGAGGAAGGAGCTGCCATCACTGTCTGCCTCGACGGCCAGATGACCGTCGTGCCTGTTGTGCCTGGTCAGTGCTACGTGCCGGTGCATTTCGCACACACCCACGCTGGCGACTTCTACTGGACGACCCTGAGCATGGCCGACAGTGATCTGTGCTACAAGGAGCGCGCCTTCTCGCAGCACCAGCTCCCCGAGATGCAAGTGGCGTGAGAGGAGTCACCGTCTACGTTGTCGAGGACCACACCGCATCTACCTCAACGGCGAATCCTACGAGCTAGCCTGGCCTGTGCCTACTCGAGGTTCGTTCGTCTTCTTCCCGCGGAAACCTGATCTCAAAATCCTCGAGATCGAAAAGAGCTGTCACCAGCGACTAGATGTAAGAAAGTAGCGTCGACATTGACTTGGACATTGAGGCGAGAGATTTGAAACTGTGATTTCGTTTAGCCTAGGTGTAGATTTTAATTTATCGCGTGTCATTGACAACTGACTGATCGAAACGAGCATCTTTCGCGGAAATAATCAAAATTTACTCGAGGATACCTCAGAGCGAGAATGAGAGAGAGAGAGAGAGAGAGAGAGAAAGAGAGAGAGAGAGAGAGAGAGAGAGAGAGAGAATGTGAGTGAAAGCGAAAAATACGTATATATATACATAGACACATATATATTTTTTATATTGCGGCGATGCGTTGTCGCATTTTGTGATACTTGTAATATTGATACTTTAGTAAATAGAAGACTTGGTGTAATTTTGAGATTGTGATATCGGCTTTAACGTCAGCAGGCATCGCTGACACTCTCCTAATGTCTTCCTAAATATATGTTTCTTCAAAATAAATGTTACTTATAAGAGCAAATATATACCTTGTGTGTCAATTGATTTACTGTTCCCTTCATCTAGATTATGAGCGAGTAGTTATAAGAATAGCATGGAAATATTGACATTTTTATCTTTCTCAAAAGTAAGATATATTTTTATAAAATCATAAACTTTAAAAAAAAAATTTGTAATGAGATAACGCAAAGAGATATGCAAGAAGAGACTCTTTGCATTAACATTCGCCTGCAATTTCCAAAAGTAATTTCTATTTATATTTTCGAACTTTCCGCTATACACTCGGATAAACTCAGAAAAAAAAAACATTCAAAGATTTCAAAGAGTGGAAAATATTTGACTGAACGTTTCGTACAGAATTGAAGGAACTCTGGACAAAACTATTCCGATTAAAACGGCGAGTCACGAGGTGACGCGAGGAAGCATCATCGTTTACGCGGGAAAACGATACACGACAACGTGAAAGATTTCGTTGCGATGTCCTGAATTCTAATTTTGTCATTAAAAATTGGACTTAACACAGCACTTTAATATCCATGGATAAAATATTTGCAGAGTTAAAATAACGCATTCCTTCCGAGTAATAAATCATTGGAAATAAAAAAAAAAGAAAAAAAGACAAAAGAGCGTGAACAATAGTTCGTTTAAGGATCCTACACGAAGGGACACTACGTACACGTGTTGCCCATATGCGACGACACATGTCAACTGTGGGTTAGTCGAGACAGGGATGAGACACGAACGAGATGAGGGGCGAGATCGCATGATTTTTTATGAATTACAACAGCAGCAGCGACGGGGTGATTCTGATCTCTCGTGACTAGAGGGGATAAAAAGGATAAACAGCCATGATGCCAGCGCAGCTACTGTGTTTATCGGATTATAATAAAATATATTGAATTGTAAAAATCATCGGGGAAATTGTTGAGTGACGCAGCCGCTTCTTTCCTGCCGCTTATTTTTCGCCGATAAGACAGCGAACAAGTCCCTCGGCCCTTTGCCCTCGGTGTTAGGGTGAGGGTGCCACAGCCTGGAAGGCAGGCAACTCTTCGAACAACCCTGCAGCGAATGCAGACTGCACCCGAGTCGCAGGGGCAGAGGCTTGCTTTGGCACGCGCTCCCGCTCGAAAGAGGTCAGACGCGACACCGTTGAAGGAGAAGAAAAGTAAAGTAACGTCCGAAATGTATCGATTACGAGACTTATTCTCACGTGCGACGCTGCATCGCGACACACGTCGATTAAATGAATTAATTCATTATCCTCTTACCGTTATCCCCCACCACGCTCCTCTCACCTCATTCGAGCCCGTCTCACGGCTATCCGGATCGCGTAAATTGGTCGAAACCGGGTATGTCGCAAGCGTTCGATAGCCTTTTTCGTAATTACAGTGATCGAAGTATCGGCGGAGGAATTTTTCCTCGTCCAAAATCGCCTCGCCGCGCCGTTCGCGCGGTGGGAACACAGTCAGACTCGTTCGACTCGTTCGACACATTGAAGACGTTCGAGACATTCATAAATTTCTTCTGCATCGAACGAATGAATCATAACATGCCATGTTATTTCGCTCATTCACACAGCCTGTCACTGTGCAATACAATCTCTCGTTTGTTCGAAGATGAACGAAATTGTCCAAAATTGCCGGACAATGGACAGTGAGAAACATTGAAAGCACTGCAGAGCGGCACGGCGGCCGCTCGCGCGCGCGCGCGCGCGCGCAAACAATATCTCGCTACTTTCTCGGTTGACATTTGTCGGCGCGCGAGGCGAGGGATAAGCACGTGTCGCGGAATCGGCTACCAACTTCCTCCTGCAGCCTACGGCCCGCGGTAATCGCGGCGGCCTTTGCTGTCCTCCGTCGAGTGAACGGCGCGCGGCGCGGCTCGTGCCAGCGGAACGCTCGCTTATTCCCACGGCCCCGATCGACGCATTAAATGCGAGCGGGCGCACACGCGCGCACGCACGCGTGTCACGTATACCATTGCGCGGGCATTGGGTGACCGAGCACGCGGAAAACGCACACACTCTCTCCGTCTCTATAGCTTACCTTCTCCCTCCTTCGAGCACGAGCGCGTATCTATAATAGACTTCATACACGGTACACTCAATCCCGCGATTCAATCCAGTGCAGAAGACGCTGGAAAGAACGATCGAAGTCGCGATGAAACAACTGGCCGACGAGTGATCGAGACCATTTCTCCGACACCCACCCACCACAAGCCGGGAGGTACTCACTCTAAATCCGTCAATAATTACGCAAAGGAAGACAACTCACGCCAGTTTCGGCTGCCAAGAGAGTCGTCGGCGAAACAGCGGACAACAGAGCGTGGAGAAAGAGCGCGCTTCCCGTTCGCGCACGCGGGCCGAGAGACCAAGGGGAAAGGTACGAAATTGGCTCGTGACTAACATCGTTCGTCACGAATGATATGGTGCTTACGCCATCCTCTCGTGCCAATCCCGCGACGCTGCTCGCGCGAAATAGGAAGAGGGGAAAGGTAAGAGAGGGGAGCAGGAGGAGGAAGAATCGCGAGCGTGTGTCTCTTTGCCGTGCACAATGTCGCTTCTAGCGACGCGAACTTTTCGGGACGGCGAGAGCACACGAAATAGGAGCATTGTTGTCGCGCATAATCGCACACTGAGGCTCTTCAGGGATTTAACGTGCGGCGAATGAGAGAGAGAGAGAGAGAGAGAGAGAGAGAGAGAGAGAGAGAGAGAGAGAGAGAGAGAGAGAGAGAGAGAGAGAGAGAGAGAGAGAGAGAGAGAGAGAGAGAGAGAGAGAGAGAGAGAGAGAGAGCAATGTAGGTAAATTTAAAAGGAGATTGCATTGGCATCAGATGCCACCTGGAGCTTGCTTGTTAATAAGATACGCGATTTTGAAAAATCGCGATTAATCGCGTGCGTTTAGTAATTGCATTCCTACGTGAACGGTCTTTCGCGTGCGAGATCGCATAAGCCCCTTTTAACTCGCGCAATTGTAACCAATCGGGTTGGTCGATTCGATCTTATCTACCACTACCGACCCCTATCCTCACTCCGCTCTTTCATTACTTGATTTAAAAATGAAAATTATTTTGTATTAATCGTACCCTGTCACACTCACGGCAGCAACAGGTGTCAGCTCGTCAACAAACTCGCCGAGTTTTATATGGCCTGAACCACCCCATAGACCCCCATAGTTAATCTACATATTGATGAACTAAAGGGTGTCCCAAAATTCACGCAAGAAGTAATTTTGATAGAAAACACAGGTTTATAATGAAAAACTAAATATTTTATTGATTCATAAAGTATACAGTATAGGGTTATGTATGGAATAGCATATCGGGTAAACGTCCACAGCGAAGAGAGTTCGTTGAATGGATTATGGAACACAACAAGTGGATGCTGATTTTTCGAACAAAATCATCTTCAGTGATGAAGGCTTATTTTCATCTTGATGGCTTGGTTAATCGACAAAATTGTCGCATTTGGGGTTCAGAAAATCCACGAGTGATTGTTGAGAAACAAATGCATCCACAACGTGTCACTATTTGGTGCGGATTTTGGGCTCATCGGACCATTCTTCTTCGAAAATGCGGCTGGTCAGGCAACAACAGTTAATGGTGCTCGCTATCGCGACATGATAAACCAGTTTCTTGTGCCTAAATTAGAAGATATGGATGTGGTTTCAACAAGACGGTGCCACATGTCATACAGCCCGAGAAACAATTCAATTACTGCACGAGTCATTTCCTGGTCGTGTAATTTCCCGATTTGGTGATCAGATTTGACCGCCCAGATCGTGCGATTTAACGCCGCTGGACTTTTTCTTTGGGGTTGTTTGAAGTCTAAGGTTTATGTCAACAAGCCCACGACCACTCACGCCTTGAAGGAGGAAATTGAGCGCTGTATCAACGAAATTCAGCCACATTTATGCAAAACGGTCATGGAAAATTTCAACAAAAGAGTGCACATGTGCCAGCAAAGCCGTGGAGGCCATTTACCCGATATGCTATTCCACACATAACCCTGTATACTTTATGAATCAATAAAAAATTTACAATTTTTAATTACAAAACTGTGTTTTCTATCAAAATTACTTCTCGCGTGAATTTTGGGACACCATTTACATGTATTTCTTCACGAGGAATTTCCGACACGTTCCAAAGCGGGGGGCGAGTTACGGCGAAAAAAAAACCAAAAAGATCGCGCACATATAAATAGCCGCGCGCTCGCTTTCATCAACGCCACGGCGTTGCCGCAGAGGCAACGACGCGCGTCCATTCGCGGGAGGCGGGGGACTCAATAAAAATCGATCAAGCTGTTCCGCCGAGCGGGAACGGGGGACGAGGAAGGGCGAGCGGGGCAAGAGATCGTACATACGTTCTTCCTATAATCTGACACTTTAACGAACGTGGCGGCGGGAAAGACGGTGGCGGCTCTAGGCGCGCCGCTGCCACGTGGACGGGCCGCGCGAATCGGACGAAACTTTCTCGGCCGCGGCTCCCGGGCGGCACACGGCTTCTCCTTCGGGCCCCGTTCTCGTGAGAACTCGAGACAGATGCGTCGCGCGTG